TCAGAAGATGTCCTCAGATCTCTGAAACTGGACTTAAAGGTGTTTGTTAGCTGTCATGTGGGTACTGGGATTTGAACCTGGGTCCTCTGTGAGTGTAGTCAGTGCTCTTAACTGTTGAGGCCTTTCCAACCCCTCTTTGGTAATTTTTAACAGACTGTATAAGTCAGTCTGTAATTTTCATCTATTCTTTTGAAGCAAAAGACAACAAATGAAAGCCATAAGTAAACTATACATTCTTTCTGAAAAATTTTAAATAAAACCACCCCTCACCCAACATACTAGGAACAAAGAGAAAAGTTCTAACATGCTTTTTGACATTAATAGAATCTGAAGTCTTTATTATGCTGAAACCAGTGGGGAAGAAACTATACACCGTGCTTTAGAAATCTTCAAGGAAAGGCCACGAGCTTTTTCACATACCAGTTATCATACATTCTTTCTGAAAAATTTTAAATAAAACCACCCCTCACCCAACATACTAGGAACAAAGAGAAAAGTTCTAACATGCTTTTTGACATTAATAGAATCTGAAGTCTTTATTATGCTGAAACCAGTGGGGAAGAAACTATACACCGTGCTTTAGAAATCTTCAAGGAAAGGCCACGAGCTTTTTCACATACCAGTTATCAGTCACATGGTCATTGTTCTATTTATATTAAATCCAAGAGCATCCTACAAAACAGAAGCAATTTTCTGATGTAAGAATAACTTGAAAAGTAGCATATTACAATAAAGTTATGATTACTCACCTACAAAGTAAGCTCAAAAACCAACAAATTGAAAACCCAACAAAACCTAAATGGTATGGACAGACGAATAAGTGAATACTTGTAGAATTAGTGTCTTTTATAATTTCCACTACCCAGCTAGTAAGATTCTTATGGAACACAATAAAAACACTACAATTAAGAAAATGAAAGCATATCAGAATCCAGCAATAAAAACAAACAATTATTCAAATTATAACTACTGCCATCTATTAAATCACTGGGTAGGCCGCATGACATCTGTTTTACTTCTTTTGTTATTTGGTCTTTGTCTACTATCTTCTTAACCTATTATGTGATTTAGATATTTGGATTACTTTGTACTAATTTTAAGAAGAAAAATTACTGACAAATTATTAAAAATTGTTTTCTATTGTTACTGCTTTCTAGTACTTAAGACATCTTCTACAATGTGACAGAAATTATTTGATCATAGAAAATTATTAGCTGTGTAATATATGCATGTATGCAACATACTGAATTTCACTGTAAATACTAAAACTGATATGTGGCTATGCAAAGGTAAACATAGACACACAGACCAAAAAGAACACTACAAAGAAAAAACCAGAAAAAAATCTAACTTTGGCATAATTTTAGTTGAAGGAAATTGCTTACTTTTTCAAAAAAAAATGAACATACCATGAAGAAATGTTTTCATCAAATAATGGAGAAAAAATAAACATGCAGGGGTTCTTTCTGAAATTCCAGGTATTAAAGAGAAGTAAATATTTGAAGTAAGTATCTGCATGTCTAACAAATACAACAAACATATAACCATTGTCTGTTAAACAGACTAACAACATGGGAAAGGCAATTTGTGAAGTCACATCTCACTTTCCATCTTTATTCTAGTTTTATCTGGGAACCATAAGCAACAGAAGTCCAATGTGTGACATGTTCAATACCACAAAACTTGTACTTTTTCACATCTTTTCACTTATATATGATACCCAGAAGAAAGCACAATCCTCAGGTACAGTACAATGGGTATAATTTTTCCCTCAGTAAAGCTATTAATTTTATTAGCTCAGCTTAAGCTTGTCTTTAACTAAATTTTCTTTCTTCATATTGTGCTTACTAAATAAAAACACTTAGGCTAAATGGACCCAGTAATAAACTGCCCCCTAAGTTCTTACCTCTACATCCACAAAGATTATTGCATCTCAACTCTCAGCAGATAAGCATTTTGTTTTTTACTTTATTTTTTGCCATTGAGGGTGATGAATATAGAGACCTGCTACTGGCCAATAAGCAGAAAATAAGAGGCTTGAAATGTTCACTTCTAAATGGGACAGTTATACCACAGTCTCTACTCCCAAGGCTCAGGGACCATCATTGAAGAGGGGGGTGGAAAGATTGTTAAGAGTCAGAGGTGGTGGATATCTGAAATGAAACAGTATTTCACAGACATGATAGCACCATTGCACACATGAATTTACGGCAGCTGTGACTTGCATGCATAAGGCCTGCACAAGATCAAGTGAACAAAATCCCAGCATAGATGAGGAAAGGACTCATGTGAAGTACCACCTTTAGCCAAAGAGCTCTTGATAACTGATGGCTGCTGGAGGAGGGAAACGCGGTTTTCTTTGGGGATGTGGTCCCTGAGAGGCTACCCTTGCTCCAGTAGACGGTTCTATATCCATGTATATAAAAGCATCACTTAGTGGACTCAGTGCTATTTCAAAAGCAAAGAGCATAAGAATTTGAGAGGAAAAATTAGGGTGGGGAGCTAAGGAAGTTATTAGAGGGGAGGGAATAGGGATGGATTTAATCAAAACACATTACATGAGGAAATTCTCCAACAACTAAGAAAATTTTAAAAGAAACCATTACTACCAGTTGAGTGTGTGTGTGTGTGTGTGTGTGTGTGTGTGTGTGCAACAGAAGTTATTTACTATACCACCTGTAAAGTTTATATTACCCTGCTTCCCTGACTATTAAACTAACAGAAAAGATACAAATTATTGAAATCACGCTTACAAAATGTTCATGGCATGGATCTGGTGGCAAAAGTGTATATATTGTTTAACTGAATCTTGACTTAGAATATCTTAAGAAAATAAGGCTTATATTTTAGCTTGCAAGATCCAAAGTTATATTCTTTCATATTTTGCCAATTCTTAAAAGATGACATAAAGCCAGATGTGGTGGTACATGCCTTTAATCCCAGCATCCCAGAGGCAGAGGCAGGTGGATCTCTGTTAGTTCAAGGCCAGCCTGATCTACATAGTGAGTTCCAGGCCAGCTAGGGCTACAGGGAGACCCTGTCTCAAAAAGACCAAAAAAAAAGATGAAATATGAAATATAAGAATCTATACATATATCATTTGATAAAAGAAAAGTCAGTCTTATTAATTATAAAAGAAAGTGTTGGATATTAATCCTCTTTTAGATGTGTATCTGGTGAAGATTTTCTCCCACTCAGAGAGTTTCCTCTTCCTTTCCTTAGTTGTTTCTTTTGCTGTACAGAAGCTTTGTAGTTTAATGAGGTCCCATTTACTGATTGTTGACCTCAGTGCCTGAGCAGCTGATGTCTGGTTTAGAAAGTCCTTTCCTATGCCTATATCTTGGAGGGTGCTGCCTATGTTGTCGTCTAGCTGTTTCCGAGTTTCAGTTTTTATACTGAGGTCTTTGATCCATTTGGAGTGACTTTTGTGCAGGGTAAAAGATAAGGGTCAAGTTTCATTTTTCTGCAGCTGGAGATCCAGTTTTGCCAGCACCATTTGTTGAAGATGCTATCTTTCCTCCACTCTGTGTTCTTAGCACCTCTGTCGAATATCAGGTGGCTGAAATTATATGAACTCATGTTTGGGTCTTGTATTGTATTCTACTTATCTACATGTCTACTTTCGTGCCAGTACCATGCTGTTTTTAATGACTGTAGCTCTGTAATGCTACAGTGCTTTTGCTGATTGCTTGCTATTGGTATATAGAAAGCCTACTGATTTTTATAAGTTGATTTTGTATCTGAGATCTGGTATGGTGATCCTTCCAGCACTGTTCTCTTTGCCCAAGATTGTTTTGACTATCTGAGCTCTTTTGTGATTCCATATGCATTTTAGGATGATTTTGTCAAGCTCTGTGAAGAATGTCATGGGTATTTTGATTGAGATTGCATTGAATCTATAAATTGCTTTTGGTTGAGATGGTCATTTTCACAATATTGATTCTACCAATCCATGAGCATGGTAGGTCTTTCCATCTCCTAGTGTCTTCCTCTATCTCCCTCTTTATAGTTTTGAAATTTTCATTGTAGAGATTTTTAATGTCTTTGGTTAGATTTATTCCTAAATATATTTTTGAGGCTATTGAGAATGGGAGGGTTTCCTCTAGTGCTTTTTCTGACTGCTTGCTATTGGTATATAGAAAGGCTACTCATTTTTGTAAGTTGATTTTTTATCCTGCTACTTTACTGAAAGCATTAAACCTAACAGTTTTCTAGTGGAATTTTTGGGATCTCGTATGTATAACGTCATATCATCCGAAAATAGGGATAATTTGACCTCTTCGTTTCCAATTGGTACTTCTTTAATTTCCATCTCCACACTTTTCATTTTGCACTAGCTTAATGTAAGTTTGGATTACATGTTTCTTCAGCTGAAAGGTTTAAAGTATCTTTACAATGAAAAGAACCCATTCCCCAAATGACTCTAAAATGCTGAGGATAAAGTGAACTCTCCAAACTTAACATCGACTGGCAACACGTTGAAGCAGCTAATGATTGTGTGAGAGAACTGCTGCTCACAGGAAATCCACGGAGAATTCTCAATTGAGTCACAAGCTCAAATCAAAAGAAACAGCAAAATAGTATTGGCAGTATTATTCCTTCAATAAGAAAAGAAAATGTATCCTCTTGAAATTAATTAGTGCCCTTCATTATTATAAAGCTTAGAGAACAAACTGGCATCAGACAGTAATTTGCTATTGAAATCCAGATTATAAAGAATAATTTAGGCATGTGGACCTGAAGATAGCTAGACTCAACTGTATCACTCCCCACCAGAAGATGATCCTGAACAGTTTACTTCTCCTCAAAAGATGTGAAGAATTTCCAATTCTGTTTATCTCTGAAAACCAGGCTGTGGAAAGAGTTTTTAAACTGTAAAATTGAAGCTAAAATGCTTTTGAGAAAGTAGCAAGTGCAAAGACTTCCTATCCTACTAGTAAAGGTCTTATAATGATTTTAGAAATCATCAGAATACCAAAGACAAAGCTCTGTACACGTACCTCATAGTAACTCCGCACTGCATTGCAAAATGCTTCATCAGCTGCAATCTGAGTTTCTCCGTTGAGGAAGGCCTGGAACCGTTCTTTCAGTGACTGCAATTGCTGTTTGTTAAGCTACAAGGAAAAAATGAAAATAAAGTGATAAATCAGTCAGTTCACTCAAGAAAGTAACTGGCGAAAGAAGAACAAAATACACTATGAAATTCTCATTTCAAACAACTAATAAAAATTTTTCAACTTATAGTTGCTGTATGTGGATTAGACATTTAAAAATAGCTTCATGGTAAAGAAAAATAAGAGCTAAAAATGCTACCCTTTGTACTTATGAACGTAAATTATTTTTCAAGTTACCTTCCTGTAAGCCAGATATGGAACTGAATTCCAAACTTCTTCCCTACACAGAATTCCTGCTCTTAACGTCTCTGTCCCTTTGTAGAGAAAGGGAAAAACCTGAAAATTGGCTGGGGATTTGATGTACAAAATCATCAGCTGTGCTGGACAAACAAACCAAAGAGGGCAAGAACTTTTGGAAATGAGTGGACACCATCCTATGTAAGAGGTAGTTAAGATGGAAGGCTGTACAAGATAGAAGGGATTCAATAAAGACTTCTGGAAGGAAAAATTACTGGGTTCCAAAATTTGAATTCCATGAACAAATACTTTCAATGCATAAACTGAAATAAATAAAACAAGGAACAGGTGAAAAGTTCAGAGGAGACAGAGCTAGCCAACAGATAAGTGGGGAGCCCACAGGTGAGTGGGGAGCCAACAGGTAGGTGGGGAGCCAACAGGTATGCGGGGAGCCAACAGGTAGTTGGGGAGCCAACAGGTGAATGTGGAGCCAACATGTGAGTGGGGATCTCCCAGGCAAGCACGCTGAGGGAAGAGATATGTGACAGGGAGGGGTACAAGTTTATAACTCAATTTTTGCACCATGGTAAATCTAGTTACACCATTACTACATGTCATTATGACTGATGTCGACTATGACTCTCTAACCATGTCCTCTAAGCAACTACAAGGAGCATCACCTACTTAATTTCTAAGCTCCACAGCAAAATAAAGACAAAGTGCCTCTTACTGAGGACTTCCTGATAGCAGAAGCCGACTATTAAACCCAGTCAGGTCCTTAGAAGCACCAGTCTCAGTGCCCTGTGTTCACCTATGCTATAAAATGTCTTCAGCACACACACACACACACACACACACACACACACACACATACATGCGTGCATACACTTCACTCAGAGGTAGGGTATTAGGCCTAGAAGCATTGAATCACTGTGTTCATGCTTAACTAGAGCGTACATGGCAGTTTGGGAAATTGTACATATTGAAATACATAAGAACAGTAAAGGAGTGATGCTTCCATTTCATTTGATCCTGATTAGACTTCCTTAAAGAATTCAGTCCAGTTGTGGTACATATACAGGAATGTGAAGCATTTGGAAACATACTGAGGATAAAATGACTAAAGGATTAGAAATCTAAACAAAACTGGTATGATTTGGCTTCAAAAAGCTGGTGTGAAATAAGTTTAAATCTGTTCAAAGAGGTTATTAAAATGCCATTCAAATATCAGGAAGACAAGGTATTTTACAAAAAGATTTTTTTTTATTTAGGAGTCTAACAAACAAGACAGTTTGTAATGAAACTGTTTCTAGGGGTAACAGGCCGATAAAGAAGTGTCCTATTGTAGCCAGGTGCTGACAACCAATAAAAACCTCTTGCTCTGAGGACTGAAGAATGAAGACGGGCCCATTTCTTTTCTAAGGTTATCTCCTTCATTTTAGAAGCTAGCCCAGCTGAACTGTAGGAACAATGAACATCACCATTTTATTACAACCACCATTTCTATAATATGAAGGAAATGAAAGCAAGCACCTTTTGTATGCAAGTGTACGAGCAAGGGAAATTATGTCTATGACTTCAGCTCTCTAAGCAGAGCTCACAAAAGGGACCAAATAGAACTGGGACAGCAATTGCTTAAAGTGAGGCAGCTGAGAACACTTTAGCTTCCAAGTTATGGGAGTCAGAACAAGGGGCTTCACCTTACAAATCAAGTTCCAGGGGAATAATGGAAATGGAAATAGACTGAGAATGACTGAACTGAGGGGATTTTAATGGTCATTTCCCCCTGCTACCTTATTCAAAATGCAGAACCTGTACACTGTTTCCTTTAACTACCCTCTTCCCTTTTGTTACTCTTAAAAGTACTTCAGAAATATGATTTTTGCAATTTCTAGTTCATCATTATTTAAGTTCAGTTGTTAATATTAGGGTTACTTTTCAGTAATTATGGTATGGGAAATTCAAGGATATGAATCCAGGAAAGGAGACTGGAGAAAAGCCCCCACCTACCACCTACAATGAAACTGATAAAGCTCAGAAAACATGCCAGAAGCACTACCTAAATATCAAGATTGAGCTTTTTAAAGATACTACAGTTATACCTAAGAAATAAAACAGCACCAAATGTTAGTTTCATAAAGCACCAGAAAGTAGATATTTTATTAATAAGAGAAAGCACCCACATTTGTACATAGGGAAGACAGGGAAAGAAAAAGAAAGCTAAACTTAATATAGCACAGAGAAGAGTTTTCAGAGAGCCATTTCCTAAAAGATTTTGCATTTTCCAAAGGACCTGTATTATATACTAAGAATAGCATCATGCAGACTCAAAAAAATTGAGAGAAAACAATCAGAAATGTACTCTAAAACACCTGTATAGTACCACAAAATAGTAAACAAGGATCCATTTTTTTACTAAGGTCCATTTTTAACTATAGTCTAAAACCCACAAGCAGTAGAAAAACAACTGGATATCTTTCCAGCAAAGAAACAGACTGCACCCTAACTCACAATGTCATGAATTAAATGGATGAAAACTTTTAATGTATAAAGGCTGAATCATAAAGAAGCTAGGAGAAAACACAGGAAAATCCTTTAAACATTAATGTGAGAAATACCTTTCTACTTACAACTCAAAATCTGCAAGTCCATTACAAGAAAAGAAACCTGAAGATCCAGAATTTTGGATAAATATAAATGCAAAATCCTCAAGAAAATATTTGAAAACTGAATTGAAAACTAAATCCAATGTGTAAAAACTTAATTACACAGAAAACCAAGTAAGATTTGTCATCGGCATGCAAGACTACTTCAACGTTCAAAAATCAATCCACCACATAAACAAACTAAAATGAAAAATCACAGGATCATAGCCACAGGTAGAAAAGAAAGGCTTTGGCAGAGTCAACAGTCCTATGTGATTTTAAAGAAGAAACTCCATACTAAGAACATGGAGTGACTTCCTCAACTGAGCAAAGAGCATCTAGACAAACACACAACGGTATCATATGTAATGGTGAGAAATGAGCAGCTTTCCTGCTAAGGCCCAGACAAGGAGTGGGTGCTGTCTCTGACTACTGCTTTTCAACAAAGTGATGCAAATCTTTGCACTCTGCTCAAGAAGCATCCAGAGGTAATGGAGGCTGAGAAGCCGGGAAGGAGGGAGAGAGAGAGAGAAGGGGAGGGGAGGGGAGGGGAGGGGAGGGAGAAATAAAACTTTCTTCATAGGTGAAATGAAAGTCTATGAAAAAGTCCAAAAGTATCATCAACATCAAAAAGCTCCTGATCTAATAAGCAACTGTAGTATAGTTACAGCATGAAAGGTTAATATACCAAAGTCAATCACTTTCCTATACAACAGCAATCGACAAGATATAAAATATCTAGGCATAAATCTAACAAAATATAAAAAATCTGTATGAGGAAAAAGAATAGAACTAATGAATGAAATCAAAGTAAACAACCTAAATCGATTCTTCCTATTCATGTGTAATAAAACTTAATATTGTCAAAATGTCAGTTGTTTCTTATTTGATATTTTCAACTCAAAGCAATTTCACTGAAATCCCAGTGCATTATGTTCTGAATATCAACAAATGAATTCTATCACTTAAAAAAGCAAAAGAACAAAAATAATCACTATATTATTGAACGAAAAGAACAAAGGTGGAGAACTGACACTATTCACCTTCAGTGATTATAGCTACAGTAATCAAGAAATTGTAACATTAGCCAAAGTACAGAGAAACAGATGAATGCAATGGAAAAGAGAGCCCAGGCAGGGACCCACACAAATAAAACCAACTGATCTTCCACAAAGAAGCAAAATCAATTAGTGGAGAAAACGATGGTATTTACAATAAATGGTGCTGGAATAACTAGACATTAATATGCAAAAATATGGATCTAGGCAAATCCTTAAACATATTACAAAATTAACTTAAAATAAATCACAGACCTAAATGTTAAGTACAAAACTATAAATAATATAAAAAGGAATAAAGGAAAATTATGACAATAAAAGAAAAATATGACCTTGTATTTGGTGATGATTTTATGGATATAATACCAAAAGCATAGCATGAAAAAATAATTGATCTGCCAGAATTTGTTTGTTAAAATTTTTATTCTGTAAAAAACAGTATCAAGAGAATGAGATGATGAGCTATATAGACTGGGAGAAAATATTTGTCAAAGATGCAATTGATAATGAATTACTATCCAAGGTATACAAAAAACTAAAAAAATTCAATGATTAAAAGAATGAGCAACCAAATTTTTAAATGGGTTAAAGTCTTTTACATGCATCTCAGTAAAGACCAAACAGAAATGACGAGTAAGCATATGAAAAGATGTTCCATATAATGTTATTATAGAAATGAAAATTAAAATAACAAATAGATGCTACTTTATGCACAAGATCCACGCAAACTCAATCAGACAAAACCCAGCATAGAACTGGGGAAATGGGCAGGAGGTCACAACTTTGGTGAGGGACCTTTGGCAGCAGATCACTGCTGCATGAGGGAGAGTTGGTCTTTGTTAAGGAAGTGATGCCAGGCACGCTGAACAGGCTCCAGTGGATGAACTCACACTGAGAGACACCTGGGTATGCAAATTTGATTTGATAGGCCTTAACATGTATGAAAAGTTGCATGAAGTCCTGTGGGCAGGCTATGGAGGAGACAGATAGAGAGAAGGAAGCTAAATATGATTAAGATGTATTGTATAAAATCCACAAAAACTCTATAAAAATATTTGGC